TCACTATTGCCTCTTTTGCCTGACCTCATACACCTCAGAACTGTACTAATTTGTACGCCTCTAGGAACTTTAGCATATCACATTGGTCCTGTCTATCTAAAGTGCCTCCCTGCTACTAGTTTTCTGTCTTTATCTTTCTCCTGAGGTAGAAATGATACATGACAACATACTCCTGTACAAAGATGTTTGATATAATCTGTATATCAATTTATATATTTAATAAATTTTGCATTTAATGCTTTTTTACCATTAAAAAAAAAAAAAATTTATTAAAAATTTCTAAAAATTAATATATAAAATTTTTTTCCAAAGTTTTTTAATAACAATGAAGATTCTTTAGAAGTCTATATCTAAAGATTTTGAAAATATTTGTTTAAAAATTTTTTGATATATTTATTTTAAATATAAAAAGAATCATATTAATAGTATTATAGATAGGTTAATATTAATTTATATATTTTATTTTATAAATATAATTTATATATATTAATAAAGTTTTATATTTAATATTTTATAAAAATAATAAAAAGAATTATAAATATTAAATTTTTACAAATAAATTAATTTTTAAAAACCATAATAATATAATATTTATAATTTTTTATATAAATTAATTTTTTTTTTATTTTCTATGATCAATATTTATTAGAATAAAATTTTATTTAATAATAAAAATTTGTATTTAATTTATTTTTAAACACAATTATAGTTTTTATAAAAATTTTAAAATAAATCTATTAATTAATTATCAATACATTAATTTTTAACAACAAATAATACTTTTAAAAAATTTTAATTTATAAAATATCTAAATAAATAAATAATTTTATTAATTATTATTTAATATATTTTTTTATTATTAATAAAAATGATTTATTATTTTTAATAAGTTTTTTGTTTTTTAAATTAATTTTAATAATTATAATCTTTAAACATATAAATAAGCAATATATAAAGATTATTTTGTTTTATTAATTATAATCTTTAAACATATAAATAAGCAATATATAAAGATTATTTTGTTTTATTAATTATTTATAAAATTATAAGTCAAAATAAAATTTAAAAACTTTTATAAAACATTATGTTGATATTATTAATAATTATTAAATAAAAATATGTAAAGTTTTATTTTTTAAATTTAAAGAATATTATCATATAATTTTAAATAAAATTTAGAATAAAATTTAGAATTGAATTTATCATTGTTTATATTTTTTAATTTATTTAATTTAAATTTTTTATAAAAAATTTTTAATTTTTTTATTTTTTTTCGATATTTAAATGGTTTGATTTATTAAATAAAATTTAATTAACAAAGATTTTTTAATATTTAATAAGATATAAAATTTCATACATAATTAATTTAAAAGTTAAAAAAATTGATATTAATTTTTTTTTAAGTTTAGTATAAATTGATTTTTTTATTTTTTATTTTTTTTGTAATGAAATCTTGTTTTCTGTTTTTAAAATAAAGAAAAAATATTGTTAATAACAAGTATATAAAAATGATTTATTTGTATATTTGATTTGTTTTTTTATTTTTTATTATTAGGTTTTTTTATTATTTTAAAATTATTAAAAAAAAGAAAAGATTTCAGAAATTTAAAGTATTAGCAAAAAAAAGTTTTTTTAAAAAAATCATTTGAATATTTTATTAGTATTTTATATTAATTTAAGTATAATTGACAAACAATTTGTTATATTAAACTATATAATTTGAATCATTACAATCTAATTTTGTTATATCCATTAATGAAATTTAATTTTTTAAAAATTTTGATAATTTTTTTACATTATATTTATCATATAATTCAAAGGATTTTTTGAAATCAATATTTATGAATTATATGATTTGTGAAAATCGTGTAATACACAGTTATAAATAATTTAAATTAATCAAATGGTTTAAATATATTGAATTATAAAAAAACAATTTTTTCGAAATTTTATTTAATTAAGGATTCTTATAAGATATACTGTATATGTTCCGGACTTACAGTATATTTCCTAGTATTATTATTGAATTTTATAATTTAATATAGTAAAATTAATAAATAAACCAATTTTATTAATCTCAGAAACAAACACGTTATTATAATCATAAGAATTGTAATTCTATAATCTACGATCCACAATCCACTGTATGTGCAGCACGATATAACATTATTAAATCTAAAAATATCATATTCGAATATTTACGTTAAACAAAATAATACTAATTTTTTTTTGTCCATTTTCAATGAAATTTATTAGCCTCATCATATTTATTTTAAAAGTATTAATTATTAAAAATATTGACGGATATCGGTTAACCGTTAAGGATAGAGCAACCGAAATCTCCGTTTGATTATAGACATTTGAAAAAGTGTTCTGCGACTTTTTGCTAGAATCTCGTATGCAAAATTTATCATTTATTATTATCATTTTGTATAAAGTAAGAAAATTTGTGCGCAATTGGAGGTTTGTTATTTGTTTTTATAAACAGAATTTACCAACTTGACTTTAATGGCACACAACTCATATTATTCTTTGTAAGAGCAGGTTAAAACTCGAATTACAATTCAAAAAGCATTAGCGATTTGAAACTCGTAAGAGATTTGGACAACGGATTCAAGGAATGGCGCAGGCGAGAGATTATCTTTTTACATATGCCAAGAGTCCTACCGCACGATAACACAGATAAACTTTCCAAGGTAAAGGTTTATCATGCTGAAAAGGGAAGCTTCATTGATCTGTTGCATTGTTTTGAACATGCGTACGTGACACCATAATTCGATTTTGGAAAGCCTTTCTTAAAGTTTCTGTATTGTACAACAAGGATAGGTCATTCATTTCTCCGTTCGTCGTACGTGCCTATGTATGTTCTAAAACCAAATCATTTCAATATCAACACAATCCTGTTATTTGCAAGTTCCTTTGATCTAATAATAGAACACAAAGGTATCGATCTTATATTATCTTTCTGGTCTAACTTTTCACTTTCGAATAAGAAAAAAAAGAGAGGCTTATAATTCAAATAAATTTTTTAAAGACAAATTATGTATGAAGCTTGCATTAGATCACCCGCGTGTAGCCGTTGGAAAAAGTTGAAAAAATAAGACGATTCAAAATTACATGTTTCATGTTTTTCCTTTATTCAGCTTGCAGAAAAATCTTTGTCCAGATTCCAATAAATTTAATATGAACGATAATCTCAAAATTCCTACCAAATTAATAAAATTGCAGTGACTCAACAACCAACTCTTGCCGCTTTTAATTATTCCGCCGTGATCGCAAGCTTTCCCATTTTTTTTAAAAAAATTTGTTCCATAAATTTGGAAATCCGAAGGACAACATACGATTGGAGATATTCAATGCGCCCCGCACCGAACCATCCAAATCACCCGATATTATATCACGATCAGAAAGAAGCACCGATTAAGTTAGAAAAATTGTTGTCAATTTGGAGTCATCATATTGATGTTTAATACGTAAGCGGGTTCGATTGGACAATAAATATAAGTTTACAAAAAAAGGAATAAATATAAGAACATGAATTATAGTTAGTGGCGTTTGCAAAACCCGAGAATTTTGAATAATCCTAGACCAATATTGGTTATAATACTGTAATTTACCAAAATTACCACGACCATAAGTTCAGAGAAAATCATAAAGTGGTGCAATAATCCCGTTGAATAGAGGAGTAGGTAGTAGATCGGCAATAAGGTAATACAGTAGCACTACAGTATTATGTATGAATCCGATGGTAGTTAGGGGAGGTGTGATATCCAAACGCTGTACAGTGCAATACGTATACTGTAATTTAAAGTTGACTAGTCAAGTTGGAAAAACAAGTAAATACGACTATATTACATGATTCAATTATTATTACGTATGATTATTATTGTTGGGGAAGATAATGTATTTGTTTCGAATGCAAATACTGACCGTAAAGAGAGGAACGAACATTTCAAGCACAAATGATGATCAGAAAAGTTCCGATATGCGCATATTATCGATAAAGATAATAATTGGTAAATGTTGATGAAACGAAAATTCCCTTTTGAAATGTACGGTACAATCAAATATGGTTGTGATGATACCGCTTCGCATACTAGCTAATAATTTTCTCTTTAGCAGAAATTCGATGATTTTACGGTATATCTGATTTGGATGCATTTTTTTCCTCGTTTGTATCCTTTCATTTTTTCCCATCTCTTCTCAATAACAAAGTTTTCCCCGAGCGATCATTAACCGAAAAATTTACAAATCGCATTAAAAAAAACCCCTGCCTCATTTTCGTTCTACACATCTTGATAATCATTAGGTCAAGCCAAGATACATTAAATTTTGTTTTATAATATGGCGATTCGGTAATATCCGATTGAACCGTTGGTGAAATTAAAGGATGATTCTTCTTACCCTTTTCGTAGTTGGCTGGATTAGGGAGAAAGACCAAAAAATCAGATCTTCTGATTAATTTTTATCAGATGCACTGTACAGTGTCAAGAGGTTGCTTATTAGCCAAAAATGTCGTGTGTCGTCAATGTATTATGGGTGTAATATGCTTATTGTTATTTGTTATTCTTATAGGCATACATATATGGGTAGGAACAAGGATTTGCGACAATAACGTGTTTCACCCAAATTCTTTGTTTTATTAATTTGTACACAAGACTTTTCATACCATAGATTTGACCGTGAGTATGAAGTGAAACCCCTTTTATGTATCGAGTAATTTTCTATAAAAACCTTAATCCTCGCTCGTCCAAAGCTCAGCATTCACGGTTCACTTTCAAAAACAAAAAAAAGAAAAGAAAATTTTCTGGAAAAATTTCTTTTTGCTACACACTTTGCTAAATTTACAAAAGGAAATTGGATTTTCTTCATTCCACATACTCACTACTTCTCTAATAAAACCAATCTTTAATATGAAGTTCTTCTTGTCCATCGTTGTCTACGCATTGGCCATCCTTGCTACCACTGCAGTTTGCGCTGATCCCCCATTCACATGCCAAAATGGTCGTGACGCCGTCGCCTTACAAAAATCCTTCGCGAAAATTGACTTCACCAAGCCGTGTCCGACACTTAATCAAATCGCTTGTGATGGAGACAGCACTGCTAAATGTACTCCAGGCGCCGATGGTAACAATGTTTGGTCTATCCAACCATGTGCTGCCACATTAAAATGTTTTGCGTTACCGTTGGTAAACAAGGCCGGCACTAGTGTCACTTGCGGTATGTAACTTTAAAAATGATTTATGAAATAATTAACAGCATTACCAAATAATTTGATATTAACAAGGATCTTTCTTTTCTTGATACTGTTATTATAGACACTCAAGCGGATCGTGATGACCGTGTCAACCGTGCTCTCGCCACCTGCCCAAAGAAGAAGAAGAGATCAATGAGAATGAGGAAAATCTGATGATGCCTATAACCAACAATTGATTTCTCATAATATAGAAATTGAAAATTTCTTATTTTTCTTCGTGGTTTCTTTCTTTTGTAAATTCCGCATTCTGTAATAAAAGAAAAAAAAAATGAATAAAAATAAGGTTTCTCCTTTTTTTTGCATCAATTCCGAGAAAAAGTACGAATGATAATATTTAATGTACATGCTGTACGTGAGCAGTTTGAGGCGGTCAAATCCGTTTTATAATGATCCTTTTTTACAGTATTAATTTTAAAAAAAATGTTTAAGGGCATCCCGTGATTACATAATAAATAAGCTCCTCATTTTGTATCACGTGGCGTTTCGTCTACAGTATTGTACGTATCGGCTTTTTCTTTGTGCATGTACTGTAATTAATGAAAAAAACATGCCTCTACCATCAGTGGGAAATGTACCGCTCTGATATATACAAGAATATTTGTATGTTCTACGCGGCCTCCTTTCAAATTAAGTTTTCATTCTTAAATGAGGTGGATATCAGTTGTAAAGGTTATTCATGTTTTACTAATGTTACAAGAATTAATTAATAAAAAAAAATTATTTTTTTTTTTCATTTTTTCATATTTTTTCTGTTTGTAATATGTAAGATACATTACTTGGAAAAGGTATTATGTGAAATACAAATTATTTTTTCCCTCGTTTCTTTACAAACATGATACCAATCGCATGTAATAATATAATGTGGTCATGAGTGATCTAAGAAGAATTAAAAAAAAAATTTTTCCACCTTTTGGAAACATCTTCGAACCGATCAAAAGTACACTGATACTAAATATAAAAATCACGTTCAATATGGTTGATAGCGCACGCTCTCCGTTCGGGGACTGATGGGACGCTGATGTCCATGCTGTTTCAAGAATAGGCCACAGCGGTTACAAAGTTTGGATCCTTCGGGTCCTCGCCAGCAAGGTGTTGTCGTCGTACCACAATTTTGGCATTTCGGTTGACCGACTCCAGGTCTCTCTGTTTTCACCAGACGTATCTCCCCATCTGGTCCAACTTCGGTGGGTCGGTGACAGCCCTTCACCTTCAAACTGATTTTCAATGTTTCTGAGATCAGTGCTTATTCAAACTAAAAATATGATTACAATTGATCGAACTACTTACTATAAACCACAAGCATTACAAAGCAACGCTTCCCCTTGAAGATCTCTTCTCCAAGCTGGCGTCTCCCGCGCTCCGCAATTCGTGCAACGATAAACGTCTCCGCTCTTTGACCTATGTATATTTTCCTGGCCAGCGGACGATTCCCCACCGCAGGGGATTGGAGATCCAATCGTTGCCTTGGTCTTTCTCCTACGCCTTCTCTTTGCCGTAGACTGAGTTGAATCCGACTGTTTGTTCTTTAAATCTCCGCCACTGCATCCAATGGTTACCGACCGTTCGTTTTTCCCGGACACGTGGACTTGATGTGGTGGAGGAGGTGGTGGTGGTGGTGGCGTGTAAATGGCTGCAGGTGGAACGAATGACGAGGACTGCTGATAAAAGTTATTATTCGTCATCCAATAATATTGGAATGGAAACGGATATTGAGTCGACGTATTTCCGGAAAAATGTGTTTGGTTAGGTATTTGCTGGCAGTGAACACACATCGGATTGGTGTATTGAGCAGTACCCGGGGGTTCATGATCGACCTTTGAACGGAGCGCTATGGTCTGTTCATTGGATCCTATTATCCCCGCATCATTATAGTTTACGTTGGGTGGATATCGGGATTGCTGAACATTAGGTTGCTGGCCGTTAGAATGAATATTGAGCCGATGGTGTTGCACATTAGGTGTTTGAATATTCGTTTGTTGGATTCTAAGCTGCTGCTGAATGTTTGGCAATTGATAGCCAGGTTGAGTGGAATATCCGAGACTCTCTTTGTTTGCATGAGTGATAGCAAGATCCGCAAGATTATCAATACCATTTTGACGTGCGTCTTGATTTGCATTGGATGTCTTGGACTTCTCGTGCGTCACCCGCATCAGATTCGAGGTGTTGATAGCTTCGGGGGCAGACGGTTCAATGAACTTGGGTGCATTCTCAAGAGGATCCACTCGATTCAGAGACTTCTCGTTTGGTGACAATGGTTCGATGGGCGATGGATCGAACCATGGTTTTGGTGACTGTGAAGGGGACGAATGAGATTGTATGATATTGCAAATATTGTGAAGGGACAAAAGGTTATTTGATTGATTCTGGGGAGTTCGAATGTTATTGCCATTTGTTGTTTTGTCTCGTGGAGAAGAATTTGGAGAAGAGAAAACGGGGGTCAGGGGTTCTTTTTTGTTTGGAACTTTTACGTCCGACATTTTCAAAAGGACGAAAAACGACAAGTCTCGGACTATGCTAAGGACGCGCAAAAAAGAATAATTAATGCAAATGAGTTATTTGAAATCAATAAATAAATCAATAAATAAAAATAACACCTAGTTTTTGAAACCTACACTTTATTTCTTCAAAGTTCGATAAAATAAAAATGAGTTTTATTGTTTCTGTGAATGATTACTGAAGAAACGTTAGAGATTAGCAGAGAAAAGATTTATTGAAATATTGATGAAGTAGAATGATGAGTGTTATCAGTGGAACTTATCAAGAAAAAAAACACGAAAGATAACGTTTATGATAACAATTAAAAGAATTGCTTTATCAGAATATTGTAGGAAAAAGCCTCAGAAAAAATGATAATTTCTTGACTGATGAATGATGCTTTGCGTGATCAGAACGAAAAATGAATCATGTACTTACACCTCTCTTTTCGAGCTTGTACTCTTGAAACTCTTCGTTTGCTTCTTTTGTAAAGAAGAGCAGACAGGATTTTTAAGAGTAAAAAAATTTTTTTTTGTTTTTTTTTTTTAAAAAAAAAAAAAAAGTTAAATTGAAGACTAACAACTAAGGTAAATTGTTAAAAGTTGTCATGGTTGTTTATTTATATTAAAAATTTTTTCCGCTTCATCATGACGTTCCGCAATATGTACATATACATAATATAAAGAAATTTTGATGTATAATCAAATATTAAAAAAAAATTTTTTTTTTTTTTTATTGAAATGATTTATAATCAATCAATATATCAATCATTCTGAGTTTATAGTTCCTAAAGTAAAAGTGTTTGCAAAGGGGACTCCATACTACACTGATAACACGAACCTAATAAAATGGATAGATCAGATCTCTCTATAATGTTGGGGTTGAATATTGATCATTAGGAGCTAGGGACAATGACTTCATTAAAATCAATCACTACGATAATAAAAAAAAAAAAGTAATCAAATCATCATTGGATTGATTCGATGATAGTTTTGATGGAGAAATGAAATAACCGTGACTCGGAGTATTATGTTGGATGATTGCTCGCTTGATGCTCACGAGATCATTTGGATTTTTAAAGTAGCTTAAATAAATGTATTATTTGCGTCATAACGGATAGTGCTCGCTCGCGGGACCCGCATTCTCAGCAATATAACACTCGTGCGTTAACCGTGCTTCAAGCTCCGAGGGCATCGATTCAACGTAATTTATCTGAATACGCGGAATTTGATAACCTGATGATGATTTCGCTCGTCAAATCACCAATCAAGGCATAGTATATGAGAGTTTGTCTTAAGTAAACGTATGATTGGATCTTTTAATTTCCGGAAATTGCTGGAATTCTTACCGTATCCGAAAAAAAACAATGTAGAGTCGATAGCGGTACTCGCAGAGTGCCTCTAAAGAAAGAAATCGTCGTGCATAATGCAATGCAGTATAACACATTTTTGTTAATATGATTCAGTCCTTCAAATCAATATCTAATATTAAATTTTATTATCGAAAATAATTATCACTTTCCCAAAAAATCGCAATTAAAATGTATATGTAATTTTAATTAAATTAAATATTAAAAGTACTGTGTTGCGAAAAAAGGAGAACAGTACTTTTGGATGCTTACGTAAATATGTTTATTGCTTCTTTGGGAAACTCGAGACAATCATTATTCGCGCCTTGCCCTTTTTCCGGTCATAATACAGTTCCCGATTAACCAATTAGGACAAGAATAATCCTTTTGAGGTTAGGCTATTTGTCTACCCAAATACAGTACAGTACCATGTTTATGTTTGTCCTCTGAAGATCTCGTTACACGTATAATGACTATACCATAATGGCAACCCTTAAGATATCAGGTAATATTTGAAATATTGATTAATCAAAAGCACGCAGGTTAAGTATCTTAAACGTGGTATTGTCCGTAAACAGGAAATATCAAAAATGAAAGATTCGATTTCCGCGAAGCACTGATCCTTTTCTAGATGGATCATTCCGGATCGACCAGTGATTCGATGACTATATTTATGCGCAAATGAAATACTGTGTGTATATGCCACAACTGTTTTTTTTTTTTTATGATCCTGCAGTTTTTTATCACATCATACATTACACACAATAATTTAAATAATGGGTGAGAATTAGCGACACAAACTTGCAAAGACATTGATTCTACTTGCATTTTTTTTCACTGTTATTTTCTACATAGGTGTAATTAAACTATTTATATAAATTTTCAAGTGAAGATATCAAGAAACTACATAAAAGTAAAATAACATATGTGAAATTGTTGAATTACAATTTTGAATATTTCTAATGAAAATTCATTTACATGATAATATAAATATTGTAAATAAATAAATGTATCAGTTTAAAGCATCAATACAGGTCACATGACTTGTCACGGTTATACAAAGCATTTTTACCAATTACTGTAATTATAACTTTGATGTCCCAGGTATGTTTTTATGTATTCGTAATCCTATTTTTTTTTATTATTAACAGATATAACAAAATTCAAATCAAATAAAAATATAAAGCATAGTGCAAAATAATGATGACTTTTTTATAATTACGTATATTTAAATTAATAACTTGATAAATAATTGATTTTGCAATTTAAAATTTTGTAAATAAGTAATTAATAAAATCACTTCAAATCATTTCAAATAATGTTATTATTATTTTTTTATTAATTATTAAAAACCAGAATTTAAAAATAAAATTCATAAAAATTTATTATCAATAATTTATTATTAAAATTTATTATCGATAATTTGTTAAATAATTATATATGACAATCTTATTATTATTTTTAATTTATTTGAAATTTTTTAAAACTTCAATTTTTGTTTTATTTAATACTAAATAAAAGCTTGTATTTCTAATTGTTTATAATAAATTTTAATAATTTATTTATTTATTATTTATTTAATAAAGTTTTTATATTTGTAATTTATGTTTTTTAAATATTTTATTATTTGTATTTTATAAACCTATTAAATTCTATTTATTTTTTAAAATTTCTTACTTTAAAATTATATATATATATTTTTTCTATATTTTCTATAAAATTTAAATTTAAATTATTAATAATTTTTTTTAATTTTTTTTAATAATTTTATTAATATATTGAAATTTGTTATTTTATTAAAATACTTTTTTTTATTTTAATTTATTTATATTTTTAAGTTTTTAATAAAAAAAAAACTTTTTCTATTATATTTGTTAAGAAAAATTTGAAATCGTGTTTTATTTAATTTTATAATTCATAAATTTAATGATTAATATTTATTAAAAACTATAGTTTTTAAAATATTTATTAGTAAATACCATATATATTAAACCTTTCTTATAATTATAGCTATATAAAACAAAATAATATATAATACAATAATATTTCAAGTGGGAAGAGATGAACAATATTAGCAAAGCAGACAAAAGAAAGCAAAGATACAGAACATATCAAACAGATGTTGAAAGAGACAAAGAAAAAGAAAAAATAATAGCAAATAGGAAAAAAAACCTGAAGAGAAAATTACTGAAAAGATAAATTAAAAACATAGACAAAATGATAAGAAACAAATTTTTTTATTTATATATTAGTGATATTAACAATAGTAATGCCTTGGCATATTAGTTTCAACCTCTATCCAATAGAAAAAGTTGATAGTAACAGCCAATATTTAAGAAACCTCAATATAATTTAGCATATACTCATTATTTTTTTTTTTTTTTTTTTTTTTTTTTTAAGTAGGTAAACATCATTTCTTTATTTGGTTTGTATGTTAAAAGTATACATCGTGAAAGAAACAACATCTCTCATTTGTAAATACATTGAGTTTAATGCTAGCTTGCCTACAGA